GAGATGTACAGAATTTAAAACTTTGGCTTTTGGGAATTAGCCGTGTCAAATGTTCAAACATCTGATATGGCCCATACTTTTGATAGCCGTCTTCAGCCAAAAGGCTACTTTGATGCAACGTTACATATTCTGGTAACATAGCTGGATTTGAAAAGTGAATATATTTTTTACATAAATACCATACGTTTGTTAAAATAAATAAAAAGCTAAAATGATGTGTGGAAATAATAATATATATATATATGAATACTGAATTTTGACTAATACTGAGTTATGCTTAACAAAACACCGCTGCCGTAAATACATTACAGCTATATATAATTTCACAGGATTTGCTATGAATTGATGGAAGGGACAATGTAGTATCTAAATACTGTAATATATATTATACATACATAAATGATTGCCATGTATACCTGAGAAAAATGAATTTGTTTCAAAGAATACAGCCCACTACACGCACCATCTGGTATCCAAACAGCTTTCTCACTCCTCTCGTTCTCATCAAATCCCTCAAAAAGAAAAAAAAAATGCAAATGCACTAGAATTGGAATTACCAAATTTGCCCTAATTTAATGCACATCCAAATTTAAAGTACCAATATATTTATCATTTTTCAAAATCTTTAGTTGTTGTCAGAACACAAAATTATAAACTCATTCAAAATAATTTTTTCAGTGGTATCCTAGTAAAACACCTAGCACAACCGGACATGCATGATAATCCGAAGAAATGTTCATGCAATATATTTGGGCAAATATGGTACATGATAATGCAATTTTGCGTGTTGTGCCGTCAGATATGTGGGCACAGGTTGGAAGATAAAGCATTATTACAGGCAGGAAGAAAGACAATCAAAATAACTATTCAGCCCTTCACACCAAGACACAAGAACCAAGAGCGACTACAGTATCACCTTCCACCTATTCAAATGAGGCCGATGAAAAGATGCATCTGAGCAAATACGGACGTCATTTACTGCTTCTACATTGTCCAAAATCTAATCTCAAATACCAAACAAAAATTACAGTATAATCCAGATCATCAATATGTTTGCAGATGTGTTCAAATTTTTATTTGATTAATTTATTTACCAAGTACCATAATACAGTATACAGAAGTTCATAAGCCAAGCTGTCATCTCCGTATCATCATTTTCATTTTCCCTAGTTTATTTAATGACAGTTTCTAACTGTACCAGCTATTTATCATCAAATTTGAGAATGACTGCGAACGATAATATGGAAGGATGTTCAATTATTTGTGGTTTATTTTAATGTACTATCCTAGGAATTTTTCTCTTCACTGCCAGATAAGCCTGACTCTGCTGTCCCCACAACCTTCAATTCATTGGGTATCTGCTTCTCTGGGGGTAAGACAGCCACAGCAATAAGCAGACCATTCATTTCATCTATTCAACTAACTAATTAAGAAACAAATCTCAAATATAAGAATCCAGATGTTTGACACTGCTGAATACAAAACCCTGCCACTGAACCAAATCATCAGCCAATCCAATCCATTATACCAAAATCTATTTTCTTAATATGCATTTTAATATTATCCTATGACTGGTATTTTCATATTCCAAGAAATCACTTTCCAAGAGGATTCCCAATTACAATTTTGTTTCTTCCACCACAGGTACAAAGGATGATATGACGGAATTCATTCAGGTATCCTAACAATTCTAGAAAAGTATAAATCATGATCCAAATGTATTATTATTTAAGGAAAAAAAGTTTTCTGGGGGTTGGACATCCTGCCTGTGTGTTGGCATTAGCACTAAGCTGGACATGGCAGTGAAGAGTAAAATTCCTACTACTCGTGAAAGGAACTGAACCATGGCTGTCCAAATAAAACCCAACCCACTCATTTTTACTACAGCAACAAAACTAAAATACACCATTTTCAAGGTCAAATTAAACTTTATATTCTTCGTACTGTTATTGTGCTGATAATTAACGTACATGTTCACCAAAAATATTTACAATGAATTTGATGGTGACCATAGACATTAATTTGGGTCAAAATAGTGACAACTTTGTACTGTTTAATTACTTTCACACAATGACTGTAAAGATGTTACACTGGAATTCTGCTATAACATGGAAATCACTACAACGAAGATATCTCTTAAATCATAAAATTTGGCTGCTGGTTTGGCACTTCATTATCACATGGTCTCAGGATGTGGATTTTTAATTGAATTCTAGTAAGGTCTTAGTGTACACATATCCTGCATTTTAAAAAAAAAATACATGCACTGTGTCTACACACATCATGCTTTATAGCAAACTACTGTTAAGCGGCCCATCCACGTATGAATCTGACTTGCGTTGCGGGCTCGGATATATTTCACCACACATGCATAGCAGACTCGGCTCGTGACACCCCACCCACAAGCGAGTTTGGCTCAATGGAATCCGATCCAAGCCGGACTTGCAAACCAAACTCGTACGTGGATGGCGCCGCTTTAGCCACATGCAACTGTATAAGTACTACATACGGCCCTTCAACCAACCTCTCAAATGGAGAAAATATTAAAATTTGTAAGTAATATACAAAATAGCAATAGTTTTAAGAAGCTGTTAATGATGCTATATTAAATACCAAATTTATTCTTTTGTTTTGAAGAATACTTACAACATTGTATAATAAGAGAAAACAGTAATACGAACATTACCTGCATTTTAAAACTTTCTAGAAGATGGCTGTCTTCTGGGTTGTAGCACCATGTAGTCTGGTAGAAGTCTACCAATGTTTCACCCTGATGATGGAGGCAGGACCTCTGAAACGTTGGTAAACTTCTACCAGACTACACAGCGCTACAACCCAGAAGACAGCCATCTTCGGAGTCAACGCTGTGAAAACCTCAAATCCTACTTAAAACTTTCTACACTGCAAATTTTTCTAAAAACTTGTATATGTGTATCGGTTTATAGAAAATAAACCGTGCACGTCCTTAAAAATTGTTTCGCTGGATACAACATACTACACAAAGCATATATACAACTGAGAATGTTCGACACACATCATCCACATTAAAACAGTTTACAGATACCAAATTCCAGTAATAAAAATTGTTTGCTCACTTGAAAAGAGTGAAGAAATACACTTTTCAAATGAGAGCGCGCTTAAGTTGGGATTCAATTTACACCAAACGACAGTCTGACGATTAAAATAACAGTTGGCAAAGGTGTCCTACAGTTAAATGGTACAGGCCGAGAAGACATGGAAAAGCAAACTCTGGTGTTCTGGGTTGTCACACCACGTGGGCTGAAAGGTGTGTACCAACACTTCAGAGAAACATAATTCTCTTCAGCCCTGAAGATAGATACAGAATGTTCCATATGCTCCTCTGAAACACTGGTACCTCTACACCAGCCCATGCAATGTCAGAACCTGTGGAAATTGTTCGCAATCGACTACGAACCATAGTGGGAGCTTGATATTCCACACATTCACAAATTTCATTCTGTCAAGACATCAAGAAGTAGAAAACATAATCCACAATGGACACCAAAATATGATTGGGGGGAGGGGGACTGGTATTCGCTTATTAAAAAAAATTTCAACTTTATTTCAGAAAATCACAAGGCTCATAAAAAATCCACAATGGCCACAGTCAAACATGAGGCAAATGAAACAGACTATAGTGGCTTAAAAGTAAAACACTACATCCTCCAAATAAGAAATAAAAATATTCGACACACACAAATAACAAAAGCATTATTCTTGCAAAAGTTACTGGTACCATAATATTTACCGTCGGAACAGAAACGTTTAAGATACATACCGTTATCCTCTGCTTGGTATGAGTTTTGATATGTTTGGACAGGTGATCGCTTCTCATGAACTTTTTGCTGCACTCCGAGCACTGAAACCTTTTCTCTCCCGTGTGCGTTCGCCGATGCCTCTGCAATGAGACGAGCCACGCCTGTTTATACTCTAGACATCAGACATTACTACAAATAAAAACAAACTTCGCAGTTTATAAACTTGTACTGAAGCATTCCCATGGTGTATAATTACTAATCAATACAGTTTTCCAGCTACACAACACTTTATTATGAATAACAAGCGTGCCATCTTAAATACATCATACTCGTTTACTTAGGCTGCCGTTGCACGGTTATACATTTTAACTGGAGTCACTAACCCCTATTTCTTATGAATTTCTCATTTATACTGTCTGTCAGGAACAAACAAATGATTTTGTAAATTTCTTCTTCATAGTGCTACGTGCAGATGGTACACACCATTCAGCATGGTGTGCATTGGTGGTTAGCAGGATTCACGACCCATCAGTACACGGGTTCGACCGGGACCGCGACATTTAACCCCCCTTTTTGCGAGATGATGATGAAAGTGGAGTAATTGTTGGAGAAACCCCAGAGGCAAACTCAGTGATGCCTAGACCACAGCCTTGCCCAACATAAGTTGTAAATCTGAGCACCGCCGGGATTCGAACCCAAGCCCAGCGTTCTAACCTCTAGACCACCGTGGCGGATTGGTTTTTCATTGCCAATGTACCAATGAAATAAAAGAATGGGAGATTTTCACATATTTACAGGAAATAAACATAAAAATGTCAGTATTCCTTTTTTTTCAGGCAATGCGTTACAAAAATGTTGACCAAGAATATAAATATGTACCTTTATTACTTTCAAAACCTCTCTTACCATCTAGACCGAATATTTTGTCTAATTCTGGTATGTTGTTCTACTGAACACTTCTTAACTGTTTAAATTAATCAATACTCACACGGCTACAAGCAACAGTGACAGCAATGACAATAAGCTCCCGTACCTGTAGTTCATCTGAGCGTGTGAATCGTTTTCCACAGAATATCCAGCTACATATAAAAGGCCTTTCTCCCGTGTGCCATCGCAGATGAGCTCGAAGATGTGATGTCTTCCCATACACCTTGTTACACCCAGGAACATGGCATATGTGTTGTTTCTTGCGGTCCCCACTTCTGAACACAAATTACATTTTTTATGTTCGCGCGACATCTGTACTTTTATCCTTAATTGACCAACTAACCAACCAAAAATCCCACAGTGCACAGTAATTAATGATACAAGAAACCACGCAATCAAAAATACGTACTTTCAAAAGTACAATTATTATTATTACTCAGTGTGATGTTTGGCGCTGCATTTCATCGGCCAGTTTTTCAAATTTGGGAGTGTAGGATGATGTTGCTGCTTGAAAACAATCGTCAAGATGGGCGTCAGTAAGTCGAGATCTGCGCTTTGATTTTATAATGTTCATGGTTGAACGGCCTTCATTATTCAGTATAACCTCTTTCCGTAACAACTCGGGCACCCAAAAGAAACCTTGGCTGGCGCCGCGTTGGGGACCACTGATGTACACCAACTGAGCTAACTTTACTAATTAGGTACATTTATTTCATGATTTTTGTCCTTAAACTCATTGTTGCCACTCGATCAATCATTTGAAACCAGATATAAATCACGCATGTGAAATGCGTCATTAAATAAACGAACAATGTGATAAAAAAACACCAAAATCACGTACCTTTCGCCGTCACTGCAGTTAGGGCACGTGCACGCCACACGACGGACCCTGGCTTTGTGCGTAGCCTCTCCTGTTAATTCATTACCGACAACTGACGACACAGTTGCCTGATTATTAGCAGGCAAGTTTGACTGCTGAATATGCGGATTACCATGACCCGTGGTCGTTATCACTTGCCACTTGTTGGGGTCATTTGGATCCTGCTGGATGTGTTGTCCGGTAGCTATGATCTGTGTGCCAGGCGGTAGGGTCGGAACTGCGGATATGGTCGACTGTGGGGGGCCATGCTGGGGCACTGACGTCCCAGATGGGGATAATCCTAGCTGGTTCTGTGCTCCGACAGAAAGCGCACTTGCTGGGATCAACTGCACGTTACCTAGTCCAGGAATATTTTGGAGGGGAATAGCCTGAAGGTTACTTAAGTTCGGAACCTGAATTATGTTACTGCCCGCTCGCATGGCTGTAACACTCCCAGCTTGAGCGAGATTCGCGAGACTTGTAGCTGGTATCACAGTCACTTGTTGACCTTGAGAACCTGCTAATGTTATCTGCTGTGGCTGAGAATGCCCCAGTAACACGCTCTGTCCTGTGGCTGGCTGTTGGCTCTGAACGGTCACTTGATGGGTGTTGGTCGTGTCCGCACCTGCCGAACTGCTGACGAGGCTCGGAGCTGCAACGGTCTGGAACAGGAGCCTCGTGAGATTGACTGAATGATTGATTCCTAGGTTATTTAACAACATTGTTTCATCTGCAGAGACTATACACCGTCAAATAAGATGAGATAATTATCAATGGTAAGGACAATCTGGTAAGACGTAATCGTGGCCTATTTTAAGGCATTTCGCAGCACTTGTGTAAATCATTGAAACTACTAAAGACTCGGTGGAAAGATGAAGTAAGGAAAGACACATAATACAGTAGGCAGAGTGCATACAGACACAAGAAGAGTATTAATAGGAAGACGGAGAAGACTTTATCATAGGGTAACACAACCAGATGGAAATGTCAATGCATAATTATTGTCATTATTTCTGTTGGAAAGGATGTACATTTCTACCCCTAGAACAACAGTTTATTCAGATATCAGCTTCTTATATAATACTTCTGATCACCAGTCTACAGCCATTTCTAACAATATCTCCATAATTCCACGTGAAAATTTCAAAGAACTTTATATATGTGAAATATGTCATCAGTGGTCAGAAAAAAAAAAACATGTCCAGATTCATTTGAATGAAAATATACTACACTTCGGGATAGCATACAAATATTCAAAGGGTTCTGGGTTCAACAGCGACCACTCTTACTAAATATTCAATATACCATTATGGAAAAATGAGTCAGTCAGTTATCGTTACGGGGTTTTAGAGAATTGGGAAGCCGTCTTTCTCACCTGCACAGTGACGCTCGGAGTGGTAACAGTTGTAGTACTCCAAGTGCTAGAAGTCACCGCATTCGAGTTGGCAGCCGCTGCTGCAGCCGCCTGCACCATCATATTTTGGTTTGCCTGGGCCTGGGCCTGGGCCTGGGCCTGGGCCTGGGCCTGGGCCTGGGCCTGTGCCTGTGCCTGTGCCTGAGCTTGTGCTTGGGCTAAGCTTCCAAGCTGAGCAACTGATGCGAGCTGCACCTGTTGGATCTGACCAGACGGCGTGATGATCTGAGTCACTTGCTGTGTTGGTACCTACAATTAAAATGTTCGACTCCTGGCAGTGCACATTCAAATTGTGGTCGTCATGATTATGACACTACGCTGTCATTACCAGTCTTTTGGAGGAGCATATTGCCCCCAATATCCTAGGTATAATATGGAAATCAGAGTGCAAGATTCCTTCAAAAACACAAATGACAGCCACAAAATTACATGGCATCAAAAACCAACCCAAATTTAAAAAAGGTCGGTGTCTTTTCGGTAATCTGATAGAAATTTACAGATGTTTCATAGGTGCTCGCTGCCTCTATTACCAACCCCTATCAGAATTTGTTTTAATTTATCTTACGCCTGTATTCAAAGGTGTTTTCTGGCCCGTGGAAAACAGTAAAAGTCAGCTAGTACCAAGTTCCAAACCATTAACACCAAAAGCTTGCCATTAGACATGATCATCAGTCAATATCATCGACAGTCTACACAGCAAATGTCCCCAACATTAATTTTAATGGTTAACCAATCATCTCCTTCTTTGTCTTGCAAACACTTTCTTGGTTGAAAAATAAATACTTTTATCTGCAGTATTAATTAAGAGGGGTCCACAGTTTCCGCGCAGTCTTGTGCTGCTTGGTCGCTGGGACCGTGGGTTCAAATCCCACTTAAACCATGGATGTTCGTCTGCGTTTTTCTGTGTTGTGCTGTCCTGTGTACAGGTAGAGGCCTTGCGACGGACCGATCCCTCGTCCAAGGAGTCCTACCGAATGTCTATAGATCGAGCCAACGAAAAGTTGGGACCCGCATTGCTCAGGCACTTGAAGAACGGGTCGTTCCCAGTATCCAAGTATAAATATTAAGCATACGAACTCCACGAGGCATCTCACACAGCAACATTATTACATACGTACCTGACCCAACTGCGATATCATCTGCATCTGACTGCCTGACGCCTGAATTATATTAGGAATTGCCGTTGCAAATGCCTGAACGGGGAAGTGAATGGTCTGATACAAAGTTTGTCCGTTTGCTGTCGAGATAGGAACCTGAACTGGTATGGTCTGCTGCATCGGAAACTGGACGACCTGTGGCATACTGGCTTGTCGAACCGAGACATTTTGGCCTGAAACAAGGCGTATCCATAATTTAAATGATATTAATTAAAATCCATGTTTCAGTAACAGGTCACATGTCCATACATGTTCAAAAGACTGTTACAAAAGAGATTTGGGATAAAAACTTAATATATAAAACCTTTTCGTGCAGAGCTCTTCAATTCTGCTTCTGCGGCAATGATAACCAGATTAATGTTCTCCAAAAGCAATCTACATCCATCACTGTTTCACTCAATGGTAGATAAATACTGTTCGTTCATGAACACTTCATAGTTATCATCGGTGCCACTGTGGCAAATAATAGGAAACTGGTTGATGAAAACAGATATTCATAAGATTACCATAATATATAATATTTAAAGAAAAACCTGGGCAAAAAAAAATTGCTGTTTCTACTGCTGTGTAACGATGTCTTCGCTAGATTGAACAAATGGATTAAAGCAAATAAACTCACATTAAATTTTGACAAAACAAATTTCATTAAATTTTGTACTAACAACAGAACTTGTGTAAATCTAAATGTGAGGTTTACGTTGATAAAATAATCGAGGAAATAGAAAAAACTAAATTTCTTGGCCTACAAATTGACAAACAATTAAACTGGAAAAAACAAATTCAATACATCATCCCTAAACTAAGCTTGGTATGTTTTTCTTTGAGGGCAGTTGCAGCACTCATGAAAACAGAAACTTTAAAATTAGTTTATTTTGCTTACTT